TTAACGCCCCCCCCCAGCAAACGGTGGGTGGCGAAATACCCCAGCAACTGCCGGGTTAATTCACGACGCTAACTCAGAACCCTCCAGCTATTGGGTTGTAAAGCTTAGTTAAGTCGTTGAGCAATAGGTGTGCGTGATATCAGCTATATGGCTGCAAGGCGTGGGCGAAGACGCTACTAAAAAAAGAGAAGATGTAAGAATATCGATCTATGTAGAGTAATAGGCCAAATTAATGCTCTTTACTTGTATTGCACGAGACACGTGATTTATAGTCCAAACAGACCCAAATTGTTATAATCGCACTTGTTTGCGTAATTGAAATAAATCTTTCAATCAATAAAAGGTTTTAGGCTGTGCATACATTACATATACCTAACTCACTTGAAAGTTCTCATCAGTCGATTCATGCAGTGGAATAACTAATAAGAAAATCTATCGCGGAATTTTCATATCGAGTTTTCGGTGAATGTTCCACATGATATCACTTTGTACGATCTACTATACGTGCCGGAACATTTGATTCCAGCTAAGACTGAACAACACAATTTCTGCAGCTGATCTCTGATCAAAGAGAACTGACGAGCTGGCGGCGTGTCTCTGACGGCTGCTATGCTATGAAAGGATTACCTGTTAGAGACAGACTGAGATTACTTAATTAGCAGCACTACATCGAAATTCAGCCGACCTCGCTTCATAAGGTAGCTTAACTGATCAATAAAGGATGTTACTGCGTTCTGGGATTGCCAGTCTGTGCTTAATTAACCACTTACGGCTCTTAACTGTAAATTGTGGCATTAAAGCAGCGTACATGTTGCATAAATGTGGACAATGCTTTGTCACGGTGGAGGAAAGGATTTCTCAGAAGAGGCAGACATTTAGAAAGCCAGTTTCTTTTTACTGAATTCTAGCCTCATTTTCAAATGTCTACCTTTGTACAGAAGTGACAAAAAAAAAAAAACGGCGCAGAGATTGACAATTGTGATACTGTTCCAAGGTGAACATTGTACAAAAAGCTGTTCACAGCTAGCCATCGCGTAAGTGACAGTTTTCAGCTTTTTTCACCTCAGCGTGAAACCTCAACGAGAAATTGCCCAGTCCATTTCAATAATTTTGGAAACTGCCAACGGCTAACTCGGGAACCAATAGAGCTACAGTTCCGCGGAAAAGCGCATTCGATAGCCTTTTTACAGACCTTTCTGAACATTGTCTCAGATTTGACCTCAGATCAACGATTTAGCCTCCAGAAGGCAAAAACTCTGAAAATAGCAATTTTCACGAACAAGTTTATCGGTAATAACGTTTGGCGCAGGAGAACAACGGTATTGATTTTGCCAGCATCGTGTTCCTCTCGTCGAGACGCGTTGAATGAACTATACTTCGACCTTGAAAGGTCATTTTGAAAATTTAACCTCAGGTCAAGGTCATGACCTGACTGGAAAGGGTCATGTTGCATATCAGTCGATCCGTATCGTCGAGCTGAACACATCGTAGGTGTTTCCGTCGCTCTAGTATGTCTCTATCAAAATTTATTGTCAAAAACTGCTTTGGACTTTTCAAGACCTCAGCTCAGGGACATAAGGAGAAGTCACCACGGGTGCTATTTTTCGATTGATCTTGTCAAGTTTACAGTCTTGAATATGTTTCAACGCTAACTTGAGAGACATTGTAACAAATAGTAAGAAAATTAACCTCACTCTCAGATTAGAAGAGTCAGACATTTCGTTTTTCTCACAGACAACCAACAAGTTTTTCTCACAGATTTTGTACCTATTGTCATTGTCTGTGAGAAAAACGTAACCTCACTCTCATTCTATCTAAAAGTAAATTCCGGATTCGAAATAAAACAAACTTTTTGAGAAGCTTTCGGCATTGCGCCATCATCAGCTCTTTCGGCATTGCGCCAACTATCAGCCCGAATGCATATTTTCTCAAATGTTTGCGAATAAAACTCCAGAGCTGATGATGGCGCAATGCCGAAAGCTTCTCAAAAAGTTTGTTTTATTTCGAATCCGGAATTTACTTTTAGATAGAATGAGAGTGAGGTTAATTTTCTTACTATTTGTCAAGTTTACCTGTAAATCGATGTTAGAGAGCGTTTGAAATGACGTTCGTCCAGAAGAGTCTCTTTTCAACTTTCTCCCATTAACTTACGAGTATAATGGAGAGGTCGCAAAATTGACCTGACCTTAGGTCACCGATGAGATATACATTTTGTACATACTGTTACTTGATCGCTGATAGTTTCAGGGCGATCATTCAGTCGGTGTAGCTATGACGAGGATTCAAACCTTTTCTGAGGTTAGGTTACTTGACGTGACCTGGTGACCTGACCTTGAAAGCCTTGGATCTGAAATAAGCACAAGATATGCGGAAAAGATGCATGAACAGGTGTATTAAAAACGGCGGAGCTCCGCAACGCCGTTTTTTAGATATCTGCGAAAACCGCAAATGGGTGTTAAAACACCCCCGGCCCGGCGCGGGTTTTAAAATTCTAAAAATATTAGCACTAACCAAATATCGAAACTATAACTATATACATATTTCATGGCTTTCACAGCCTAATGGCATTTTTGGCATGTGTGTACTTCTATTCTGTGTGTCTATATGATTTTAAAAACATATGCTGCTTTTGCCCGAAAACTGAGCGGAACTATTTTCACAGATGCCCTGACAGTGTGTATATCGCTGGCGCTCGTTACTGCCAACATTTAAACATTATTTACATGCATACCCACTTTTCAGGTTTATCCGAGCCTGTTTGTTGTGCTCATGATTATCCTGACACGTTTATCGCAACATTTTTACCCGAACTTCACATAAATATCTCAGGATACATTGAAATAGCTACTTTCCGGCATTAATTGCTTGAGTGTGGTGGGGAGTCCCTGATGCACCATGCCTACACATGGAGCCCCCTCTTAAGCCTCTAAGGTCTTAACGACGGCCTCTGAGGGCCCCATTGCGGCCTCTAAGGGACCCACGCAGACCTAAAAAAGTAGGGTGACACAAAAAAACTGTCATCACCAAATTTCGAATAACTTCGGAAGTTTTATTCAGAGCATCACCAAACTTCGGCCACTTAACCCTATTCCTGGCGGGGGGGGCCTCAGGAGCCCCCCCTGAGGTTTTTTGGTTATATCTCCCAAACGCGTTGAGCTAGGAAGCTCAAATTTTCTGACTTTTCCTAAAAGGCTTCTACGCAACATGTCTGAAAATTTTGAGTTGATCTGACCTCAGGTCAGGTCACCAGAGGCGGTTTGGTGACGCTACCTCAGAAAAGTTTGCAATCACGCCAGAGCTAGAGTTTTTGACCGATCAATTTCTTCTCTTCAGGGTTTAGTTAGGGTACCAGTATGTGCAATTTGTATATCTCGGAATTTTGATATCGGTGACCTAAGGTCAGGTCAATTTCGCGACCTCCCCATTATAAGTCAATGGGGGAAAAATCAACTCCCTGTTTTTACCACTAAAACGGGTCGGAATGGCCCCATATACCATACATGACTTCATATACGATCAACCTTCACTACCTTGAGGTCTGTTTTGCTGTTGGGCAGCTGTGAGGTCATGTGACGTCATCAAAGGTCACCAAAGGTTTTTGGCCAATAACTCCGTACAGGAACAAGATACAGACGCGTGGATGGTCTCATTGTGTTCAGCTCGTCAAGACGCATCGAATGATATACATGATGACCTCGAGGTCACGTGACCTGAGGTCAACCTTTGACCTTGACCTTTCGAGGTCAACATATATATCATTCGATGCGGATTGACGAGAGGATCACGATGATGCCCTTAGTTTGTTCCTATCTTGACTAATTCGAAAGTTATTCGAGAAAAACTCTCTCCATATCTAGCTCCGCCATTTTGACTTTTTCGACCCCTGTGACGTCATCTTTGACCTGACCTGAAAATGACCTTAGTAAAAATTGTAGATTTTGGCCGTGCGTATCCGATGTCGTTTATCGCTTGTCGCTATCTTGCTTCGTTCTCGAGATCTCAGGGGGGGGCCGAATCGGCCCCCCCCCCCCCGCCAGTTTCTTGTCCCGGCGGAGCCCGCCAGGAATAGGGTTAAGGTCACACCTATGTAGCATACATCCACTAAGTTTCAAGTCTTCACTACGAATACTTTTAGTACAGTGTGTGTTTTACTGACGCTCCACAATGTGCTCCAGGTGAGCGCCACGGCGCTGCAGGGCGTAGGCACACTTGCATCCGGCGGGCAAAGTTGTCGATAACCCGATGGCTGTGCACTTTACAGAGTGCAGTGGCCTCTGGAGACAGTGCTCAGGGGGTGTGCTACCCCTGAAACGTTATTCTTATCGGGTTATCGGCAACTTTGCCCGCCGGATGCAGGTGTGCCTACGCCCTGCAGCGCCGGGGCGCTCACCTGGAGCACATTGTGGAGCTTCCGTAAAACACACACTGTACTAAAAGTATTCGTAGTGAAGATTTGAAACTTGGTGGATGTCTGCTACATAGGTGTGACCTAAAGTGGCCGAAGTTTGGTGATGATCTGAATAAAACTTCCGAAGTTATTCGAATTTTGGTGATGACCGCTTTTTTTGTGTCACCCTGTAGCACACTGGTTCTTGGGCCCCACAGCGGCAAGGTGTGAGGTCCAAGGTGTACAGACCCCGCCGGACCTGGTCTGTATTGGTTTTCTAAACCAGTCCCGGCCGAGGGAGTGTGCCGGCATACGACCCCCTCAAGATTTCGCCCCTAATTGTGAGCAAGAGCCTCGCGAAAAAAAAAAAATGACCGTTTGCACCGTTACAAGATGCAGTGACTTATACCCAATTTAAAGGTCTCGGGTCAACCGGTGACCTCTGAGGCCAGGTTAAGTGCCCCAAGAAACGGGTTCGGAAGCCCTATTCACAGAAAATAATGAAGTAAGGCAGATTTATGCTGCATAAACGGCAGTTTTAAGTCCACCATTCGCTCTAGATGTGTCACTACTAAATACCCTCTATCAGTAATCCACCGAGAGGAGCACTGACCTTTGGCCGTCTGTCGCCCGCTGGTGACCACTGACCACTGGTGCGGCGGCACTGTCGTCGCTCCTCCTCCGTCTGCGTCGGCCCCGACGATGCCCGGGGCGGTTCGTCGGGGCCGACAGTGACAGAGCTTCCGGCGGCGCCACGCACGCGCCCTCCGCCCCGGCTCTCCGCAGGTGCTGCGAGTCGAGAAAAAGCCGCCGAAACTAGACATGTTGGGTGAAATATTGCTGCAAGGAATGCAGAGACGAGAAGCAGATGGGCTGGACTTTCTCTCGGCTTTTCACTTTTTTGGTCAGCTCCAACAATTTTTTTCTTCTAAGAAACAAAAAAACAAGATGATGAGCTTTGCTTTTAGCGGCACACATCACCCAGCTGTCGCTATAATGTGGCGGAAATGTATCTCGTTTTTCGCAGGTCGGCGGCGTTGTGCGTCCCTGGGCAGCCGTTGTGTGCCCTGGCAGTACCGAAGGCGGTGAGAATAGGCCGCGGCGGGCCCGGCCGGCCGCCTCAGTCGTCAGGTAATGAGGACTGGCGTCGGCCAAATGGAGGCGACGCGACCCGACTCACTCACGAGCCGGTCGACGGTGGTGGCGGGGCCGCCGGGCAGACTAGCATGCATACACAGCTGAAGAGAGGGGAAGAGGATATGGCGCAGGGGGATCGGAGGACGTGCGGCGGATGGTATGGAAATTAGATAATATCAGACGAGGAAGGTGCAAAAAGTAGCCAATAGCCGTTTTCACGACGGCCACCTGGTACACATTTGGTGCGTATCTGGTGCAGACTGGGTGCAGATTTGGTCAAATGTGTCTCTTAGTAGCTATCATCTAGGGTTGCACTTATTGCTTATATGCCTACTTTGTCATATTATCAGAGAGCGTCATCGATTAAAACACTGAAATAAATTCATAAAATGAAGATATTTGCACTGTAAAAGAGATTAGGCGCAAATTTGGTCAAATTAGATGCATTCGCCGGACAGCCCGTCGTGAAAACGTCTAACAAGAGGGGTAGTGGACAAAAACAAAAGTCACGATATAAATGATCTGCGAGGTGAAAGGGAGCCGCAGGCAATTACACTAGCCTGGGGATCAATGCTCGGCAGCATTTTTCAATGGGTTGAAAACGCAGCACTTTGCAGGCAAAATGAGTTTTAAATGCGTCTGATTTCAACTGCAATTAAATATTAGCAAATTCTTTGTAAAAAATATTGACGAGCTATGTGTCAAAACAAGGGTCTCGAAACAGTCACCAGGTTGTCAATGCTTCCGGTACCTACCACTTGACCAGTTACCGCTTAGTTAGCTTACAGGCTGAGAACTATCCAGATCGTTATGATCCGGTATTGTAATGATACCCTAGGTGTACCTTTGTTTTGAAGTGCTGAATTAACTATCAAGGTTGTTTGACGTTTGTTTTCGCCTCAATCCGAGACGAGGAAGACCCTCATCAAATTATTAGGTGAAAGCCAGCCTCAGGATGATCAAAATACTAGGGGTAGTTTTGTCATAGTAATCTGTGAAGGGTGAGGAACAAGCCGTAGCAATGCACTCGTCACTAAACCAGCCTGAGATTATTCGCCAGGTAGCTGCTGCGTTTCCCTACTTGCTGAATCATGTTAACAACTTTCCATTTCCAGACACTTTTACGGCAAATAAATTGTTGGGTTATTTGGAAGGTGAATGACAATTTTATTTCTATAAGTCAATACATTTGTATTTCCGATTGACCTAAAACTTTTTTTTTAATCGTTTGCGGTAGGTTTTTATTGTTCGCAATAAAGTTGCGCACCTGTGAATCCTTCACATAATGCGTTCCCGGCTTCCCGGCGCCAGTTGCGCTGTGCCGTGCCGCGTTCGGTCGGGGGTGCAAGCGTCTGTGAAGTGCGAGTGTTTATCACTGGTCAAACCTGTATCGTTTCCATTTGTGCAGTGTCTAGTTATGAAGAATTGCTTGCCGATATATGACCTGCAGTGATCGACGTTCTGATTCAATAACTTGCCATAAGCCATTATTCTCAACCAAATCGCGCAGAGACGTTTGTAAAGTTGTCGAGGGGGGGGGGGGGACAAGAGCGATTTTAAATGAATTGCTCTCCATGCAGTGCAATAGGACTTAGGTTTAATTTTTCGAAAGTTGTGGAGCCGCCCCCGGTGTCCGGCCTGGCCAACTCTCTCAAGAACCGACAGCTAACGGAACACTGAAGTTTCACTACGACGATTTCCGCCAAATTTATGAAGAAAAGGCAAGTGCAAGAAGTACAAAACTTCTCTTGGTAATCAAAACTGAGGTTTGGCAAATTCCAAACCCTAAGTCACTACAACTGTGGATATAAATAAGCTGGTTATTGACGGCCAAGCTCTGGCCAATCTGAGGTTCAGAGCTATCATCAAGTTCATGAGGCAGCTGCGGTTGGGTGGCTCACGGGCTCCATTGCATAGGCTCAGACAGGTACTCTACAAAATGTCTTCTGTGTTCTTAGGTTCAGATCTATCGATAGGTATGTGCATGCTTCTGATTCGATTGATAACTGTAAACGGGCGCTGGAAGTGAAAGGTTCGCTTGATATACGAAAGGTGCATTGCAAGAAAGCACATTATTTCAGAAATACACTTTCATTTTATCTTGAGCGTTTTTGGAATGGGCCGGATGAATTCGTCATCAAACTGGTAAGGGATTTCGTTTGAAGACCACCGATATTTAATATTATGATGGTCTTCAAACGAATTTGCTGGCAAATTCGATGACTGGATTGGGCGGCGTAGGATCTGCTGGTCAACTGACTATGGGTTGATTAGGGCCTAGTTGGGCCCCTAGTTTTGACCTAGTTTGAGCTTCATTCGTTAAGTAGGAACAAGACGATGCTTCTTTTGACCATCGTCACTAAACAAGCCGCCCTCGTTTTGACATTGTTTTTCGTTATTATTGTTACTAGGTACTTTGTTATCATACACAGCATTAACGAGGACCTGCTTCCAAAACAAGGCAGAAACGCTCCAGATATTTTTGGGACGTGGTAAAAACTAACCGACACCTGGTAACTGTCATCTGACAAACACAAAACAAGCCAGGGGCTCGCAGCGTGTGTCAAAAGTAGGATGCAAAACTAGTCTGTACCCCCGACATTTAGCGTTGAGAATCATTTGACGAGGGGCTAGTCAATATTTTTTACAGTGAAGGGACAATTTTTAGAGCTCGTGTCATGCGGATAGTCCTGCGGAATGGGATGAGAGAGGAAGGACAAGGGAATTACAAACACGAAAAGCCAAAGCCAAAATAAATAATTGCGGTAGGACAGCTAAGGTATAAAACAAGGTAAGAAAAGAACTGACAAGGAAAGGCGAGAAAGTGATATGCCTCGTCGCCGACAGCAGAAATTTATCCAGCACCTCCCTGGGAAATCCTTTTTGCCGCCTCTCATTTCATTAGGGTCTCGTTGCGCGCGTTACTCGTTCGTCGATACGCCGTTGGCGGTCATCCGGTGGGAATCGGTCGGGCGGCTGTGGCGCGGCCCTGGTGTGGTCTGCTAACCCCTCGGGACGGGCAAAGGGACATCGAGGTGGGGAGAGCACGGGACTGCTGAGGGGAGAACAAGGTCGGTGATTCGCCCAAAGACGCTCGTTTCCCGTGGGCACAGACTACCTAGAAGAGTGGCGTGCGTGCAGCTCGTATTGTCGCTAGTTTTTGCAGGTGTCTTTGTCACCAGTCATACTGCCTGTCTAATGTCTTCTTTGTCAAGGTAGAGTCGTGTTCAGCGTCACTCATGTAGTTGTGCAATCGGTCTAAACGAATTGGGATAGATCAGGCATTGCTGTACGAGGCTGACATGTTCTTTCCTATCCTTCCAGGTAATGCACTCTAGCCTTATTGTTGCCTATTTCAGGCTTTCCCATTCTTCTCCAAATCCCGATGTTTGTTTCTTTTCAAAGTTCTTCGTTCCAATTTGCTTAAGCTAACGTGCATTTTTATAGCCTCTGTTGTAAGTGGGCTGTGCTGTGCTGTTTGTGTCTCCGTATAGAGCATCCGTCTCCGTATTTATTTAGAATGGCGCCGTCCACATTCGGTTGACTTTCTCCATCCTCCGAAAGTAACAGCGTCCTTTTCCTATTTTCTTAGTAATCTCTGTCTCTCGTTCCCAACCAAACGGCTCACTTATGCATAGTATTCTTCTGGCGTCGGGATGTCTTTAATTTAACTGTTTTCCGTTCCCAGAAAAGGAATAGTTGGGAGTACGATAATAGTAGCCAAAAAGCAAGACTAAGTATCCGCCTCCGTCTCCTCCCTTTCCCCGTGCCCGTCCTCGTTCCCGTCTCCGCGTGCGTCTCCGTCTCCGACCCCAGCTCTGTCTCCGTCCCTGTCCCCGTCTACGTCTCCGACCCCACCTCTGTCTCCGTTTCTGTCTCCATCCCCGTCTCCGCCTCCGTCTCCATTCCCTTCTCCGTCGCCGCCTTCGTCTCCGCCTCCGTCATCGTCTCCGTCACCGTCTCAGTCTCCACCTCCATCTCCATCTTCATCTTCATCTTCATCTTCATCTTCATCTTCATCTCAATCTCAATCTCAATCTCCATCTCTATCTTCATCTCAATTTCTATCTCTATCTACGTCTCCGTCTCCATCCCACTTCCGACTAGTTCGTCCCGTCTACGTCCCATCTCCGTCTCCGCCTCCGTCTCCGTTCCCCTCTCCGTCTCCGCCTCTGTATTCGTCTCCGTCTCCATCTCCATCTCCGTCCCATCTCTGTCTCCGTCTCCGTCCCGTCTCCGTCCCCGGTCTCCGTCTCCGCCTCCGTCTCCGTCTCCGTCTCCGTTCCATATCTGTCTCCGTCTCCGTCCCGTCTCCGTTCCCGGTCTCCGTCTCCGTCTCCGTCTCCGTCTCCGTCTCCGCCTCCACCCCATCTCAGTCTCCATCTCCGTTCACGTCTCCGCCTCCTCCCCTCCTCCTCTCCGTCTCCGTCTCCGTCTCCGTTCCCGTTGCCGCCTCCTCCCCTCCCCCTCTCCGTCTCCGTCTCCGTCTCCGTCTCCGTTCCGTCCGTGCGCGGCCAGCCGGCCGGTTATTGGTGAGCCGTGGGTGA